TAAATATACAATAGAATGTTACCAAGCAAAAATAAAAAAAGAAAATCTGATACATTATAGAATACAGATAAAATCTGAAAGTATTATGCTAAGTGAAACTAGCTAGGCACACAAAGACAAGAAATATAGAACTCCAGTAATGTGAGATACCTTCGGCCGTCACACTCACAGAGACAAGAAGTAGGTCAGAGAAGTCCCTGGTTGATGGATGAGTTTTGCCATGAAATTATGAAGATGGATAGTGATGGTGGCTATACAGCATTGTAAAGACACATAATGCCACTGAGCTCTAAAATCAAATAATAGTTTAAATAGTACATTACATTATATTTATTCTACCACAATATAAAAAAAGGAATGCAAAACCCCTACCTAGCCTGCAAATATTCTACTTTAACAATGTATCATGACTATTTTCCTTTTCAATAGATAGCAATTCATTTTCTTCAGTACTGTATATCAGAAATAAACAGTATGTCATAGAATGAGCATGCTGTAATATGTCTACTCCCACACTAACACATTTGCTATTGTAAATAATTCTACCATATGATCCAAAGTTCTTGGTGCTGGAGCACAAGTACTGCTCTTGTAGAGGACCCAAGTTTGGTTCCTAGCACCCACGTTAAGATAGCTCACAACAACCTGTAACTCCAGCTCCAGCCCTCTTCTGGCCTCTGAGAGCAGTACATAACCCACACAATCACAGGCACCCACACCCATACATACACATAACTAAAATAAAGGTAGACTTTTTAAAGACTTTAATAAGCTTGTTATTATTGAACTGGGTGTGGTGGCACACAGCCATCTCAGACCATCTCAACTATCCTGACAGGAAGGGGGATAAAGGGCTTAAGGTCATAACAAGTTTAAGGCTAGCTCAGGCTACCTGAAACCTTGTTTCAAAACTTATTATCTGTTAGTTCTATACAGTGGAAACCCTAAACTGTGGTTACTACATTAATGGGCAATGTGAATATTATTGATGTTCTTTCAGCCCATCTTCAATATTATAAAGCAAGAGAGAAGTTGTTTTGCACTCACTAGAGTATGAATTTAGCTACATATAACAAAACTCTGAAATAGCCAAGACTTACACAGAATAATTTTTTTTCACATAAGTCTGGAGATGGCCACTCCACAGGTCATCAGAAGATTCCTCTACACACAGTTAGACTCTTGACTAGTGACAGCTCCTGGTCCAAGATTGCCACACTACTTTGTCACAGGTAAGAGAAAGGAATGAGGATGGGTTCATCCCTTACTTTTAGGACATTTGCTATGAGTTCTCTGTCTTCTTCCCTCAGCTCAATGACCTGAACTTAGTTATCCAACTCCTCCTTGGGAAAAATAGTCCTTGTGAATGGCCATGTGTCCTGCTAGCAGCATGATGATCAAGGGGAGACTGGATAGCAATCTACTTGTGATTAGAGCTTTAAAATACTGTGTGTGTGTGTGTGTGTGTGAGAGAGAGAGAGAGAGAGAGAGAGAGAGAGAAAGAGAGAGAGAGAGAGAGTGCTCACCGTGTATGTGCTCACCGTGTATGTGCAGGTGTCTATAAAGGCCAAAAAAATAGCATCAGGTCCACTGGAGCTCTGGTTACAGGCAGCTGTGAACTGTGCAATGTGGATACTGGAAAGCAAATTTAGGTCTTACAGGAGAGCAGCAAGCACTGTTGACTGCTGACCCACTTCTCCAGCCCCTGTGATAAAAGAACAGCTATAAAATCATCTACAAAATCAACTATTTCCCATGCCATTCTTTTATTTGTTTTTAGTTAGAACACAGAATTATGGGTTTCGGATGATATTTTCATACACAGGCATCACTGTAACCTGCTCATGTTTGCCCAGTCCTCTCCCTCCACTTCTTACAGCTCTCTCATATAACCCTGCTTGGAAGCAGGCAATACTTTGTCTTTCTCCCCTCTCTTCTCACATTTCTCCCTTCCCCTTACTTTAGATACCCCATCCTCCGCATAGTCTCTCCTTTTGACTTTTGTGCTTATTTATTTAAATTCTACATATGGAGAAATGCATGCAACATTTGTCCTTCTGAGACTGAAAATACCATTCCAAGTACTAGTCTGTTATATTTCTCTGTGTTATGTTTTTAATTATTACTTATATTGATTTTATGTGTGTGGGTGTTTTGCCTGTGTGCGTGTCCCTGTACCACATGTGTGCAGTCCCTGAAGAGGACAGAACAGGGTATCGGATCCCCTGAGACTGGAGTTACGAGCAGTTGTGAGCTGCCACGTGGGTGCTGGGAATTGAACCGGGTCTTCTGGAAGAGCAGCCAGAGCTCTTAACTGCTGAGTCACCCTTCAGCCCCGCTTTTGTCTTTTGAGAGTCTGTGAAGTCTGGTTGTCCTCGAACTTGAAATCCTTTTGTCTCTTGATCCTGAATGGTGTGATTATACAAATAAATGTCACCACCAAAGAGTTTCTTCTTTGTCAAAAAACAATTTTATGATAAATTATATTATTGTATTATTTTGAATTTGAATTCCTGAGACTTTGTTAACTAACTACGTCACTGAAACTGGTCTCAATGAGGTCGAGGGCAGTCAAAGTTATATTTAAAAACTGGCTTTCCTTAATATCTGGATGCTAACTTTGAGGTAGAGATCTTTTTAAGTTCTGGTTTTTTGATGTTAAGTATCTCAGGGCTGGGGTGGTGGCTCAATTGGTAAAGTGCTTGCTGTGCAAGGAGGAGGACCTGAGTTCAAATCCCCAGAATTCATGTAAAATGCTGGGCATGAAGGGCGCCACACATCCCCGTCATCTCACCACAGAGAGGGAGGACCTCAAGGGCTTGCCGGTCAATAGTCTAACTGAATAGACAAAAAAGATCCAGGTTCTGTGAGTGACCTTGTCTCAAGAAATTAGGTGGACCTATATTAAGGGAGTCTAGTTTGGTCTTATGAAGGTTCCCCATTTGTCAGACCTGAGTCAGTGATCTCTCCCTAGCTCTGGTCAGCTGATTCTGTGGGTTTCCCCATCATGGTCTTGACTCCTTTGTTCATATTTTTGCTCCTCCCTCAGTTAGTTGTGGATTTCTGCATCTGCTTCCCTCTGTTTCTGGAAGAGGGTTCTAGCTTCTCTGGGCTTGTGGATTGACAATGGCATGACTGAGACAATGTATAAGGCCACTGGCAGTGGGTCCAAGATCTAACACAAACACACAAACTGACTTAGTGGACCCTATTCTATATGGAGAGACATCTTGCTCAGTCTAGACACAGGGGTGTAGTGGTGAAGAGGTGCCTTGATCCTGCCTCAACAAGATGATGGAACAACAAGATGATGGAACAGACTTATAGGCTCTCTGAGGAGCAGATGGGAGGTGGGGGGAAGGGAGGAGATGAGGGAGGGGGAACTGGGAATGGAATGTAAAAAATAAATTAATAAAAAAATTTTGAAAGAAATTATGTGGAAAGTGACAGAAGACACCCAACACAGACCACTGCCTCCACGTACACACACACACACACACACACACACACACACACACACCTATCTCTGCACTGTAGTTGAAGTTCAATTGGTAGAGCATTTCCCTAGCTTGCATAAAGCACTGTGTTCGACCCCCTGAACTACATAAACCAGACACAAAAGATAACCTGGAATACCTGTGCTTTCAAGGTAGGAAGATCAGAAGTCCAGGGTCATCTTTGGTTACATGGCAAAGTTGAGGCCAGCCTGGACTACATAAGATCCTTACCTTAAAAAGAAAGAAAGAAAGAATGAATGAAAGAAAGAAAGAAAGAAAGGAAGGAAGGAAGGAAGAAAGAAAGAAAGAAAGTTTTAAGCTGGTGGCACATTCCTTTAATCCCAGCACTCAGGAGGCAAAGGCAGGAAAATCTCTGTGAGTTTGAGGCCAGCCTGGTCTCCAGGACAGGCTCCAAAGCTACACAGAGAAACCCTGTCTCAAAAAAAACAAGAAATAAAATAAAAATGAAAATTTAAAAGCATCTTTGCTACTCAGAAGCTATATAATTAAAATGACACACATCTGTCTCATGACCTTTGCCTACAGAGGAAATAAAATATTACTGAGCACAAAGCCCCAGAAGGATCTGGTGACCAAGAGCAGCCTCTCCCAGAATGATGACTATGTAGGGTTCCTCCCTTTCCTCTATTTCAAAATCTGCAGGTGTGGACAAACTCCAGGATGAGGCCTTACACCTCTCAGCAAGTACTATTTCCTAAGCTGACAGTAGTGTTTATTAAAGTACCTTTTTAGAATATAGAGCAATTTTTCATAGGTTCCTCTGCTAGTAACCCTCCCTGTTTCTTACCAGTGTATGAAACAAAACCCTTACTGTTAGCCTTCCCTCATGTCTTCAGGGAATAAGGAGCAGCACCGAGAATGCAGAATACAGTCCATCTACAGACAGCTGCAAAGATCATAGCATTTTAAACACTACAGTGAGACCCACGCATTTCAGATTTTTGTCTAATGTGCACAGAGCAGATGGATGGAAGGATGGATGGATGGATGGATGACGACAAAAGGGGGGGGCATCTGCTTGTGTGTGTACCACCCACCAGAGCCTTCCTGAGCAGGTGAGCAGTCCTTGGCCACTTGTCCCGAGTGTGCTGGCTGTGGTTCCCTGGCTGGAGAAATTCACCAAGACAGGACTTGCTTTGCATAGGAGGAAGTCTCCATAAGTCCACCCACCAGAACCTTCCTGAGCAGGTGAGCAGTCCTTGGCCACTTGTCCCGAGTGTGCTGGCTGTGGTTCCCTGGCTGGAGAAATTCACCAAGACAGGACTTGCTTTGCATAGGAGGAAGTCTCCATAAGTAGTCCACCTGGATGAGCCAGGAGCCTGGGCTTCAGGAGCACACTCTCTAGGAAGTGCCTATGGTCCAGGGAAGGAACTGCTCTCTGAAACAGGGTCAAGGGGCGTGAAAGCAAGCGCAGTGTGGGGCTACCTGCGTGCTAGCAGGGTAGGGCCCTCAGTGGTTGCCAGCGCCTGCAGCGGGCGGGGCTGGGCTGGGCGGGGTGCGGACGCCTGCACCTCCTGGGCACCCGCGGCCACATCCGTGACCGAGGCTGACAAGTGGACACCTCTGAGGCTCGGGAAAAGGTCAGAAGTCACGTTGGGGCAGGGGCTCCGGGCCGGGAGAAAGAGAGGCACTGACTGAGGGAGTTCCACCTAGGAAGGGAGGCGCGGATCGGGAGGGGGAACGCCAGAAAGGGGACTGAGACAGATAAGGGCACACGGTTTGGAGGAAGGGTGCTGGAGTGAAGAGGATACCCAATGCCGTTGGTCGCCACTTTGGGGCTGGGAGCAGTCTTGCTCACCAGTCCCCGCGGAAGTTGCTCCTCTGCACTGTGCCCATAGGTCCCGGAGTGATTTGGGTCCACAATGTTACCGAGTGACGCGAAGGTGCGAAGTCTGGTTATCCATTCCTCCTGGGTGGAGCAGGGGGCTCCAACTTAGGTGGCATGCCTGCTGCGGAGACCCCGAGTTGTTTTCAGGCTGCCAGCTTGACTTATGCTCACTTGAAGCCTATTTGTCACTCCTTGTTAGCTAGGGCTCCACAAATCCAAGAACAAGATTCGTTCTTTAGGCCAGGAAGTCTGGTAAAGGGAGACATTTGCTACAGCCCCTCCAGCCATCATTTGGCCTCAGTCACTAAAAGCATGGAGTAAAGCTAAAGCTTGGCCCTAGGAAAGAGAACCTGAAAGGGGGGAACCTGTCTGAATCCAGAGGGAGTGGCCTTGGAAACAAGCCCCACCCTAAATGAAAACTAAAAATAAATAAAGATTTGTACTTCAGTCAGGGAAAGGTGGGACTTCGTAAGATGAAATTTAAAAAGGTTAAGAGCAGCTGCCTCTTGAAAGGTCTCAGCAACCGTTGCTTCCGTTCCTTCCGTTCTTTCTCTTTGCCCCTCTCCCCACACTGCTTCCCGAGTCGCCCCACCCTGGGTTCCATTTGGCTTCAGGATTAGTATAGCCATCAAAGCTGGAAGGCAGATGCATTTATCTAACTACACACCCATCTAAATAGCTACAAGGTTCATTGTTCACAAGCAACCTGCATCCTCGTTTCTGTCAATATGTGCTTTTTACTCAGTAGAGTCTGGATTTTGAACCCCAAGAAGCAGCTCTTTATGTCAGCTTGTTGGCTTAATGATAATGTCACCAGCTTTTCTGTAGTTTCTGGAAAAGGGGAAGATAATAAGGTTCCTTTGAATATGAGGTTCCTTTGGTTTTACAAAGTAGAGAGCCTGTGATGATCAATGAGCAAGGCGTCATTTGTTTGCACAGTATCTGTAATAGTATTAAAGAGACCCAGAATTCTTCTTTCCAAGGGCTTTGATTTGCTCTCACTGAGGAAGGTGGGAGTGGTACCAGCACTACACTTTGCCTTGTATTTTATGGCTTTTCTCCTATCTTTCTGGTAGATACTGCCTGTGATGGCCAAGGTGAAATTGTTGAGTCTCATTTTATCTGAGTTCTCCCCTGAAATGCTCTTGGTTATAGTTATGTCTTAATCTTGGACCTTAAAAAGCTATGGCGTAAAAACAACACTTTGAATTGAAAAGGTCTATCAGTCACCTGTATGTGGTAGAGAGTAATGCTGACACATAGAAAGCATGGTCAGCATGGTGACACATGGTGCTGCCCTACCAAGGGTTTGGTTTTCATAAAACATCATCAATATCTTGCAGGCAGGACAACAGAATTGGCATTTGTAGAGCACAGAGTGGCTTATGTACTGGAAGATAAGAGTAGGGTCTCTATTCCATATGCAAAACTGAATCCAACCATTCTGTACCTGGCCAGGGCTGTCCATTTATAAAATAGTAGAGTCGGGACTCCAACCTGAATGTTTTCCAAAATACCACCGCTCATACTAGGTAATTTTGTGTTGTTATTTTTTAAGTTTTATGATAGAAGACTATAATCTGTTTCTCCTAAATATTCATGTATTTGTTTTATATAGTATTTATTCTTTGAGAACTTTGTAGATGTATAAAGTGTATTACTCATATCCATCCCACAATTTCCCCCCCTCTGAACCATTCTGAACTCTTAAAACACACACACACACACACACATTCACGCACACACTCCCTTTCCAACCTCCTCTTATCTCCTTTCTTTTTAAACTCATTAAATCAAACTAACACTCCAACTACTCCCATGGGTATGGAGCCACCCAGAGTATGAGCAACCTATCATGAGCCACACCACTGAAGAAAAATGGCTATCCCTCTCAAGAGTAACCCAGTGGCCATTGACTGGCAATAGCTCCTCAGCTAAGGATGGTACCTCATGTGTCCCTCTGCTATCCATTCTGGAATGTTGGTTGTCTTGACCTTGTAGAGGTCTTCAGGTCTTATGCAGTTAACCATAGTTACTGTAAGTTTGTGAGTAGCACCCATTTAAAAAAGTATTCTCAGCAATTCTCCCTGACCTTGGACCTTGGGCTCTTACAAACTTTCTGCCATTTCTTCTGCAATGTACCCTGTAACTTGGGTACATTGGGAGAGAGGTGATATAAACATGTAACAAGTCTTTTTCTGTCCTCCCAGCCAGCTCTCAAACAATAACATGGAGACTTCTTATTAATTGTGAAAGCTTGGCCTGTACCTTAGGTAACTAACTCTTACATCTTAAATTAACACATTATACTAACCTATTTTCCATCATGTGGTGTTACCTCTCTTCCATCTTGCATCTCCTGTTTCCTCTCCTCCTCTCCCTTTCTCTCCCTGGAAATTTTGCCTATACCTCCTCCTTTCTAGCTATTGGTCATATAGCTTTTTATTATGCCAATCACAGAAATACACCTTCACACAGTGTACAAATACCCCACAACATAAGCACCCGTTTACTGCTGAGGACTCCATGGTATCATCTTCTTTGCATTGCCCACTGCAAAGAGAAGCATCTCAGATCAGAGTTGAGAGCTGCATTAATTTATGAATATAGACAAAACTATTTTGAATGCAGTTTGATACTGTACTTAGCACAATAATAGTAGTAGGCTATCCCCTAGAGCTAATGACCTCTCCAGCCAGATTCCTGGCCAGGTTTATGATACTAGGCATGAGTTCTCTCTTGTGGAGTGGGCCTTCTATCTAATGCAAAGCAGCCAGTTACCCCCATAACATTCATGCGACTATTGCAACATTGGTGGTATCTTTCCAGGTCAATCATTACTGTAGCTCTCAAGAATTCACAGCTGAATAAAACTGTTGACGACTCTTCTCCCCTGGTAGCATACAAAGAATTTTTCAGCCAGTCAGCAGGGAGGAAACGTCCAGTTCAGTACTGGCTTGGATATCCTATGATTAAAGTGTGTAATGTCTTCAGCAATAGTCTCACTATTATGTTCTGATGGGTAATCAAGAGCAATGGCAAAAAGCCTGTATTGTTTTAGGAATTGCTGGGATGCCTCTGACCAACAACACAGAGGAAAGTATCCCACATCAGGTACTGGGATGGTTTCTAGAAAGGAGAATAATACCTCTGTCTAGGGTACTTCTTTTCAAACTTTTTTTTTCCTGACTTTTCCGAGACAGGGTTTCTCTTTGTAGCTTTGTAGACCAGGTTAGCCTCAAACTCACAGAGATCTGCCTGCCTCTGCCTCCCAAGTGCTGGGAATAAAGGCATGCACTATTACCACCTGTCTATTCAAACTTTTTAAAATCTGTTTTTCAATGAGCTTATAAAATGGATTTCCAAGGGGCGTTTTCAAATTTCCTTAGTGTTAGTTACCTCTCCCACAATGCTTTCCTGTGCAATCCCACACCTCCCCTTACTTAACACCTCCCATTGTTCCCTTTTTCTCTTTATATCACTGGTGTTCTACTATCCCCCTTCCCTAGGATCCTTCTAAACCTATCTGCAATTGTCCAGCTTTGGTAGCCTGGCTTTTACAGATACCACAAGTTACACACACATATCTAAGTCCAAGCTGGATCCACCTATGAAACAGAGCATGTGGCATTTGTCCTTCTGGGCCTGGATTACCTTACTTGACTGAATATTTTCCAGTCTTAACACAATTCCTAGATAGTTCATATTTTCATTTTTCTTTGCAGATGGATAAAATTCCATTGTGTTGACTCCATTTCCTAGCTGTTGTGATTAGAATGACAATGAGCATGAAAAAGCAAGGAACCCTGAACTAGTTTAGAGAGTCCTCTGGGTATATGCCTTGGATTGCTATGGCTGTATGATATGGTATATCTCTCTCTAGCTTTTTGAGGAGTCTGAACACTGACTTCCAAGGGGCCTGCACCTACTTATACTCCACCAGCAGTGGATAAACAACCCCTTCCCCCACATCCTTGCTGGCATTTGTTGGTTTTAGTTTTCCTGATACCCCATTGTGAATGGGGTAAGATGAAATCTCAGTATAGTTTTATTTTTCATTTCTCTGATTGCTGGGGATGATGAGCACTTTTTACAATGTTTAATATTAATCATTTATATTTATTCTTTTGAGAACTCTGTTCAGTTCCAAAGTCCACTTTTTAATGGGATTGTTTGCTTTGTGTTTAGTTATTTTTGCATCCTACATACAGATGTATATCTGTCAAAACAAACAAACACAAAAAAAGAAACATTTTCAAATTCTGTAGGCTACCTCTTTAGTTGATTACATAGTACAGCAACTTTTTAATTTCTCAACACTCAACTTGATAATTGTTGGTTGTATTTATTGCAAAACCAGATCCTATTCAGAAAGGCCTTCTCTGACTCAATACCCTGAAGTGGATTCCTTCTTCTAGAAGTTTCAGAGGTTTGGGTCTCTTATTCAAGTCTTTGGTACATTTGGAATTCATTTTTGTACACGGTAAGAAATAATCAACTTTCAGGGCTGGAGAGATGGCTCAGCAGTTAAGAGCACTTGCTGCTCTTGTAGAGGACTCAGGTTTGGTTCCCAGCACTGACATTGTAGCTCTCACCCATCCATAATTTCAGCTCCAGGGGATCTAATGCCCTCTTCTGGCCTCTGCAGGCAATGCATAGATGTGGTGCACATACATATATTCAGGCAAAATGCTAATAAATGTAAAATAATCTTTTACCAAAACTGTAAAAAAATCAACTTTCATTCTTCTA